TTTCGTGCAGAAATCCTTGAGGGCCCAATCTCTCTCCAACTAGGTATTCATTTCTATCTAACTTAGCTGTAGTAAGACCCGTCTCATCAAAGAAAACAGCTAGTCAAGAAGGCTCTTTCTTGCTATCCTGAAAGAAACGGGGAAAGCAACAGCCCAGGACAAAGAGGTAGAGAGGCCGTACTACATACGTGAAGGATGAATAGCTGAAGGTTTTGAAGCAGAGGATCTGCTTTCTGTCTTTTAACAGATGCTGCTACTTCTGTGTCAATGGTTTGGTTACAGAGACTGCCTAGACAAGGCCGCAGTCAAGGTAGTAGTGGTCACAGACACAATGATGCGGACAGTTCTGAGAGAGATTTAGGAGGTAAAAGGGGCAATACTGATTGGAGGGGTTCAGGAAGAGGAATGTGACAGGAAGGTGCCAAGATCTGGGCTTGAACAACTGGATAGGTGATGATATGTGTTCTTTCAAAGGACAAGGTATTTGAAATAAATGCCTAGTTTGGGGTAGAAAAGTATGAGCTCAACATAATTACTGCACATCTATTTATATAGATGGAACAGAAGTGTTAGAAGCAATAATTACCCCTAATACATATGATGCACTATAATTTTAAAAATCAACTTTATTGATGTAGCTACAGTAAAGTGCATCCATATCACATGCAATTGAATAAGTTTTGACAAACATATAAAGTTGTGCTAACTGTCACTACAGAGCATTTCTAGCTCCTCAGAAATGTGCTAGCACCCTTTATGTCAGTATCTCTCTAGGTCAGCATTGTAGTTTAGAAATTCACATATATGTAGCCATATATGCAGTATGTATATAGCATGAGACTAGCTTCTTTCACTATTATAATGTTCTTGAGATTGATCTATGGCAGGGTGCAGCAAACTATAGCCTAGAGACCCAATCTAGCTCACTATTGCTTATACAGAGACCTAAGAGCTAAAATGGTATATTTTCAAATACAAAAACCAGATTTTATGACATAATTATGACAGAAATGAAATGAAATTCAAAGCTTAGTGTCCATTAATAGAGCTTAATTAGAACACAGAAACATCTATTTGTTCACATGTTGTTTGTTTGTTTTCAAGTGACAGAATTAATATTTATAAGTGACTGGAAAGGTTAAAATATGTATATGCAAAGCCTACATAAAATATTTATAACATGACCCATAAACAAGTCTTCCCCCAAACCTGTGGGTTTTTTATACCAGTAATTTGTTGTTTGTATTGCTGTATAATATTCTATTCTGCTCTATTGCAGGAAGAGAGTAGTTTATTAATCTGTTGATGGAAATTTGGATTGTTTTCTAGTTAACTTTTATCATGTGGTATAATGATGTTTCTTATCATATTACACTTTTAAAAAACTTCTGGTCATGGCCCACTGAACTGACTTTACAACCTGTTGATAAGATGGCTCTCAGGGTGAAATACAGTGGCACAATGTTTATTGAAGTAATAGAGGATGAGACCTTGTAGCATAAGAAAAGGTCTCACTTGCTGAGTGCTAAGGAAATCCAACAATTAAATGTTGGGCAGAGGAAGAAGGAATCCCAAAAGATATCATGAAGCTGATAAGAGAGAACACCTAGTAGAGTTTGCTATTGTGGAGCAAGGAAAACCATGGTTTCAAAATGGAAGCTGTCATCTGGACTAAGTACTTCTGAGAAGTCAGGTTAGGTAGTTGGAGAACATTTTAGTGATATTCATTCCAGTGGGGCTGAAATGAGACTGAAATGAGTGGGTACTGTGGAAAAATTGAGACCCCAGTGTCAACTGGAAGGGGATGTGGACCGAGTCCATGAAAGGTGTTTGCTTGTTGGTCTCCTTTTGAGGTAAGCATCATAAAAGGGTTTAATTTTAACAAGCATTAAAAACACTGTATGGAGCCTGCCAAATAGCTCAGTGGATTAAAGCACCTTCTTAGGCAGACGCAGGGGCCAGGAGTTCAATACCCAGGCCTGCTGTGCTGGCCCTGCCCTCAGGGTGCACTGAGATGGCAATTGATAATGGGCATGGTGGTACACACCTGTAATCCCAGCACTCGGGAGGCTGTAAACAGGCGGATCACTATAAGTCCAATCTACGCAATGAGACCCTGCAGACCCTGCCCTAAAAACAAAAATAATAAAAAGAAAAAGAAAAACACTGTACATAAACATGACTACAATTTTACAGAATGAAAGTAAAACACCAAAAGGCTAAGTAATGTGCCCAAATAGCTTTCACTTATACAACTTTAAAACCTCAGAATTAGTTCGTATGGTGGTGCACACCTTTAATTCCAGTGCTTGGGAGGCTGAGGCAGGAGGCCCAGTTAAGGTCAGCCTGAGCTAGAAAGCAAGATCCTACCTTAGGAAAACAAAACAAAACAAAAAGAATGAACCAGATTTTAAAACCAACCAACCAAACAAACAAACAAAAAACTCTAGCTCTATTTGTACCTGCAATCTGAGCTCTTACCAGCAGGCTATGCTATTAACCACAAAAACCATAATCCAAGTTTTATATCTTTAAGTCTAAAGAGGAATTGTTCCAGAACACATATTTTCTTTTCTAGTTTATAAAAGATGTTATTGGAACAACTGTCAAAATCTGAATGAGATATATTAGATAGAACATAATATTGTATCAAATGTTAATTTATTATTTTATTTTTTAAATGTATTTAGTACAGGGTATACAGGGTCTCACGACACAGATTGGACTCCTAGTGTTTCTCCTGTTTTCAGCCTCCCAAGCACTGGGATTACAAGCATGTGCCACCACCGCAGTCTCCATCACACTCTCAGCATGCCCCAGCGGTGGGGCTTGCACTGTACATTACTGATCAAATCCTGGTCCCTGTCAGCCTAAACAAGGGCTTTAATCCGCTGAGATTATCAGCCCGGCCCTATTTTTTTTTTTTTTTAATACAAATAGGGAGCTGGGAATGTAACTCAGTGCGAAAGCTAAAGTTTCAATCCTAGAAATAAAAAACAAACAAACCCATCTTTTAAAAAAGGCAAATCTAAATCTAGTGTTTACAGATTCATGTTTGGGTAATAAAACTGCAAAACAACAAGGATGATTACCATAAAGGTCAAAAAGTGGTTAGTATTCTTGAGGGGGTGGTGTTTGGGAGGGATCCCTGAAAGGTTTATAGGCTGTTTAAGGGGGTTTCTTTCATAAGGTGCAGGGATAATAAGGTGTCAGTTTATAGTACTTCATTTCTTTTATGCCATCTTATTCACATTATCTTAACAAAAACAGAGGTTTTTACTTTGTTTTTCCCTTTACAGGCCCTTTTAGTGAATGTCTGTGTCACTAAGCAAGACAGGTTTCTTGAATTGCTATCAGGGATTGCAGATGTCTCTCAAATTGGTAATGATATTAAAAATTATTGAAATCTATTTCTTCTAAAAAAAGAAATCTATTTCTTCTAGGCAATTTACTCAAAAATTTTAATTTATAAGTCCAAAAATATAAAGACAAAAATATAAACACAAACAACAGACAAACATAAAGTAGAATATTGCTATTTCTTTTTCCTTGTCATCTAATTCTGATTTGCAAAAAGCCTTCATCTAAGTATTTTATAATGTAATGATTACATCTAGATCACCGTTCACATTGCTTTTTTTCTTGATTTCTGGGAATTTATCATTTTTTGCATTGGTATAACGAATAATTAGTAAATATATATATACATATATAGAGAGATTGATTTTAAAAGATAAAGACAATCAGCCCCTTTTACAATGTTGTAACTACTATTCAGATCAAAACAAAATCATGTTAATGTATCCAAAGGGAAAAATAATGTTTGCCTATTAACCAAGAAAGTTCTTTTAATAGCACATACAAACCATGACAGTGAAAATTAAACTTCTCCACAATTGGCGCCTTTTACTCTTGATTCTTCTAACATTTAGTGCCCATCACAGGGCTAGAATGAAGAATAGTGCATTACAATTTATGAGCATCACAGTCTGTTCATTCACAAACCAAATGCTTTTTATTGTTAGCTGTGGTGCTTGGGGTGGAACTAGCGGCCTTAAGCATGAAAAATTCTCTGCCACTCAGCTATAGTCTTTACCCCCTGCAGACTAACTTTAAAACAGCAAACTCTTATCTGTCCAGTATTTGTCTTGTAGAACCTATTTTGTGATGTGATTCACACATGCTGAGGTGTTCAGTGATGAAATGTATGAAAACATATATTGATAGATACTTGAATATAGACTGGGATAATACAAATATAAGAAAACGTTAATTGTAGAAGCTAAGTGGTGGGAAATGATTGTTTAGTGCACAAATCTCTCAGCTTTAAAAAACATGTTTGAATATTTCTTAACACTAGTTTTGCCTTAGGTCAGGAAAAATTTTCAGTACCTGGAAGATGTAACCCCATCATTCTTTCTGCTTGCAGAATTTTTGAGGACTAATTTCTAGTTTCCAAATAAACACAGGAGGTTTCTTTTGTTAAAAAAATTACCAGAATACAAAGTAGATATGTTAAAATATATAATTATTATGTTAAAAACTGTAGTACAGGCAGTTTTCAGCAGCGATTTGCATAAAACGGGGGAAAAGAATGTAAGATCATCTGTCTTCTATAAGGAAAGTGTTTTATTGATTGCAACTATGATAATGTTTATTTCTCATTTCAAACTGGGGAATATCCTGAACAAATGACGGCCTCTCATTTGTTGGTAACACATTAAGTCAAACCAGGCGAGGTGGCGCAGCACTATGGGAGGCTCCCGAATTCAAGCCCAGGTTCAAGGAAAGGGGGTGTGGAGTAGGATGTAGCTTAATGCAAAGGGCCTCGGTTTAATTCTATGCTAAGAAAAAAAAAAATCCCCATTAAATCAAATAGCAGGCGTACGTGCAGCGAGGTTTGTCTGAGTATGAATCCTACCCAGCCCCTGCACGGCGAGCTGGGGGTAACGACCTCTACTTCAGTGGGCTGCTGTACTACAAAACAGAAGAGCAACAGCAACGCATTGTATCATTATCCCTCGTCTGACAAGCCATCATTGTGACATGAAGGCGGAGGCTGGATCAGCTGTCTCAAAACCTTTCTCATCTAGAGTTCGCCTTGAAATCCAAGACAAACACTGTCCATTACCTTCCGAAACCGTAGCCACCTAATCACCCTAGCCCCCAAACTGTGGAATACCCCGGATGCCGTCAAGCCTGCGCAAGCGCGCAGGCGCTCAAGCGCTCGTTCAACCCACCCCACTGAGGTAAATGGCCTGTTCCATTCTTCAGAGGTGCTGACAGTAGGAGGAACTGCAAGCTGGGGCCCCAAAGTGCAGATGTATCACTAGTGTTTCCAGCCTTTCACTCCATGGATGATAATTTGTGAGTTTTGTGTCATTACGTCAGTGATTTCGACAGGTGTCTTGAAAAAGTGAGTTTGGAACAGTTTCACCATCTATCTTTTCCCCCCTCACCGGGGCGCATTAGGGCTGGCCCACTGATGGCCAAGTACGGAAGCCTAGAGGTCCTCGTTCACTCAGAAGAGACCAACTTCGGCCCGCCTCGCCTAGCCGGTCCCGGCAGCTCCTCCTCCTCTCCGCCCGGCGGGCTGCGGGACGTCAGCGCTGCCAGCGTGGAAACAGCTGTCTGGCGCGGGAGGCGGAAGTAGCGCCGGGCCACCACCGGACGCCGCTGACCGCTTCAGCCATGGAGGCGTCACTGGAGAAGGTCTGTAGGGCGGGTAGGGGATGGAGCTGCAATCCGGCTCCAGCCTCCAGGGTAGCTGTTCCTCTTCGAGCTGCCATTGTGATCCAGGGAGGGGGTCGGGGCTAACGGGCCCGCCGGAGGAGGCCTGGTCGCCTCTAGGGTTCTGGTGGCTGAGACACGCTGAGCGGGTTTCTTTCGGGACCGCCCTTGGACTCTGCGGAGGTTCCACGAGCGGCCAGGCCCCTTTACAAGATAGGAGCTGTCAGTCTGGGCCCTAGCAAGACCTGGAAAGAATCCCCAGTTATTATATATTTATTTATAATTGGTATTCGCACCTAGGACCTTTCAGTTGCCAGACAGGCGCCGTACCACTGAGCTATATCCCCGACCTCTCCCCAGTTATTTCGGGAAGAGCTGCAAAACTGTAGGTCTTTTCTGCGGTTTCCACATGAGCAATTACTAAAGCAGTGGCTTTCCAACTTGAGTGTGCATAGGAATCATCTGGAGCCCTTCGTAAATATACAGATTTTTCATCCCTTTTGTAATGTGTGCCTGAGGGGGGGGGGCGGGACTCGCTCCTGCATTTTAACAAGTTCCCCCATGTGATTCTGATGCTGTAACTAAAAGGGTGAGTTCTGTGTAGAGTGTGAATTAAATTTCGGGTATTGAAGTTGTTCCACGTGTTCTTGACTGACCCTTTCTGGAGATCAGGAGAGACCTTGACATCAGCCTCCAAATCCGCCGGAACCAGCGTGATGTACTTGGCCCACTGCTCATACAAATGAAATGGGTTCTAAATGTCCCTGATTTAGGGTTTGTAAATGAGAACAGGTGCTTGGGCTTCTTTATGGATTCCTGCATTCTGTGCCTAACCTCTGACCTCTTTGAGCTCTCTTGTCTCTCCCTGTTTGGGATTCTCCTTGTCTAGGTCTATGCAGACCCTGTTTTTCCTACATGTTCAGGAATAGTGGTAATGTTTAAGATTCATCTTAATTTTGGCCTGGTAGAAATAACATTTAGGTTTTTTTCAAAGCAGCAGCTGCTGTAGGTTTGCTTACTTGACACTGGAAAGTTGAAAGCAGTAATCGTAGAAGTTGAGCAAAATCTCATCATGTGCAAACAATGGTAATTCTGGGTGGAAGACAGGAAAAGAAAAAAAAAATATATCTTTTCATGAGTCTTCTGATTAGCAGCACAGTGCCCACCTTTTTGGTACTTTCAGTTTCATTTGAGATGAGTGGCCCTCAACCACGGAAAAATTTTGTTTCTCAGGATAGTTAGCAACATGTGGAGGTAATTTAGATTCAGAGGTGCAGAGTTACTGCTGATAACTGGTAAGAAGAGGCCAAAGATGCTGCTAAACAGCATCTATTGCACGAGACAGCCACCCACACATTATCTGGCACAAGAATGTCACTGATGCTGAGAAACCTGGTCAGGATCCTGTGTGTAACACCAGTAGTTGAATAGAACATGTCGCTGAAGATACCCCTTCTGTGTTTGCAATTTCATATGAAGGTAGGGTGGGGTATATGTCATTCAATTAGAAAGCTAAAAGGAATCTGGGTGATCTTTTCTCCAAGAATAACTCTTTATGGGCAAATCTGCAAAACCAAGTTGGTTGGAATCTCATTATAAATATTTGTTTTCTGATATTTGATTAGTAGAGTATAGTGGTTGCTTCCTAAATGTTAATTGATGATAAAAGATCTTAAATTCTCTAAAAGATTTTTAGAGGTACTGAAACTGCAGGGTTGGAGCATTCACAAAAATTGCAGTGTACTTTTAGGAATTGAGAACATTCAGGCTGGAAATTACTACCTTAGGTCAACATGAAAACTCTGATATAAATGTTTTATGACTAGAATTGTATTTTACCTCTGTATTCCATGAAGTAATGGAGAAACTGGGCAGAAGAAAGCATTGTCATCAGATGAATTTTGATGACCTTGTGTCCTTAAAAATAGTTTGAATCAAAGTGAAACACTGTGTTCATTATTCCAGTTTCTTGGAGGAATGGGCTGTTCTGAGTTGAATTGTACATTGCTTATACACATTTGAAAGGTACTTGAGCAGTTTTGAATTTAAACTGACTATGCATAATTTATAAAGCTGCAGTGACCACAATGTTATTTGATATTTATCCTCTAAAATTTCAAGTAACATCTCTCACTTTTAAGATGTTCTTTGCTATCATCATTTAATAGAATCAATCCCAACATTTCCTTTAGTCTAAATGTAATTCTGTACAGTATTTTTCTTTAGTTAATACGTAAATATGCACACTGCATGGGCAGAGTCACTTTTATTGTGATTTGCTTTTCTTTCACAATAATCTCAATTCTGTTGTATTTGACACTAGATAGGTTAACTGGAAGGACAGGGAATTCAAACTAGAACTGGAGGAAAAGGATGGGGACCTGTAGGCTAATCTCACAGGGTTTACTTATATTGATTTATTCAAGTAAAAAATATGCCACAGGGAAATTAGTCTGATAATGATGATGTTCTTAATAAATTATCCATCACATATACACCTATACTTTTTAGTGACAATTTGCTGATTTAAACCTTTTTTCCTGTTGCTTAAAAACTTCTTCCTGTGTGTTATGTTTAGATAAAGTGTACTGCAGTTTGTTTTGTGTTGAATTCCATCCTTCAGCACATATGGAACACAGTTTCTCAACTTCAGTATTCTTGACATTTTGGGCTAATTTTCTGATGTAGGTCAATGGCGTGTGCATTGCAGCATGTTTAGCAGCACCCAACTGCCCATCTGCTAGATGTTAATATTATCCTCTTCCCTCAGTTGTGACATGAAACGACTCCAGGTGAAGGCAGCTGTGCCCTAGTGGATAGGAGAAACTGCTTCAGGTTGAAAATTACTAACTTATAGAATCTGGAGTTACCAGCTTGAATATAGATTAAATAAAGTTTAACTTTTATTTTCTAAATTATACTAACCACATTACAATAACTAGGTGTTTAACAGCCATATCTATATATACAAAGAGCCCACTACTAAAAATGTATGGCTTTGGTGATTCTCAGTCTGTTCAGCATTGCAGGATAGTCAGCAGAGCTATTGGTGATCCCTATTGCTGTGTGTACTCTGTTATAGCTCCAGATTTTATAGGTGTGTGCATTGCATTATAGGTAGGAGTTGCTTCACTTTAGTGTTGTTAGTCTCCACATAAAGCAGAGAATTTATCAGGGCCAAGGATTGAACTCAGGGTCATTGATGCTAGGTAAGCTGTCTGGCCCAGAGCCCCTTTACCCCCAGCCCTGACACCCTACCCCCTGGTTGTCAGAAACCTGTTTTGATTTACACTTTATTACTTGCAAGTCAGCTATGGGTCAAATCTCAGTGCTGATGGGTACAGAAGTTGAGTAAGATGTGGTTATGTTCCAGTAAGGAGCATAATTTTTAGACAAATGCTTGTTCAGTGAAGGAGTAAAAAGTATAGGAACTGAGAAACAAGCTGGGTATACAGCTTGTGACCAGGAATGATTTTGTGAAAGATATTTTTTTAGATGGCATATTTAGTTCAAAATTATGGTTTTTCTAGAGCTGTAGTTATAAATGCAGATTTTATTTTATAATTTGCCTCAGTGTTGGCAGTCTGTAAATTGAGATCAGAACCCCATTTCATCCTTTAAATTTAAATTAGATATAAAAAAGAACAAGTCTTCTAGTCACATTGAAAATATCAAAAATACGTTTTAGGGCTTTGATTTATTTAGCTGAGATTAAACTCATTCTCTTTAATCAGAATTTACTGGAATTATTACAGTAGGTTTTTTGGTTGGTTTGTTTGTTTTTGCTTCACTATACATGTTAAGTATTAAGCTACCTTATAGATAGTACTTGAGAGCTATCTATGGGCATATCTATGAAAAAGCATTCTAAGTTACAGATGACTAAGACAGGAGTAAACTAACTTCCTTTTCTTTTTGTGGTACTGAGGATTTAACCCAAGGTCATCTCATTGGTATACATCCCTAACCCTTTAATTTTTTTTTTTTTTTTTTTAAATTTTGTGGCACTGTCACCCTAAATTGCTAGGTTGCCCAGGCCTATCTCAAACTTGTGATCTTCTTGCCTCAGTCTCCCAGTGTGCCGAAATTACAGGTGTGCACTACCACATCTGGCAAGAAATGCACTTTTCATATAGTAGTTTTCTACTACAGAAAGACAAAAACAGCAAAATTAAGCCTTCATTTTGAAGTTCCTGGCTATGTACATTACAAGCAATACATATTGGCAGTTTCACGCAGTTCAACTCTAAAGGTCTGAAGATACACACAGGCTTCAGGAATTTTTTTTCCCCCCCTCAGAATTCATCTCCATGTTTCTAGGATAAGTCTGCCAGTTGAGCATGGTAGTACATGCCTGTAACCAGCACTGTGGAAGGCTAAGGCAGGAGGATAACAAGCTCAAGCCTGGCATAGGCAAATTAACAAGATCTAGTGTCAAAATAAAAGGCTGGGAACACAGCTTAGTGTGAATGCCCTGGGTCAGTTCCTGGTACCATGACAGAAAAAAATAAAAGATGGGGGGCGGTGCTGACAGCATTAATATTATATAATCTCACTGCAATTTTTGGAAATTTGACAAAAATATATCTTTTTTTTTTTTTTTTTTTTTTCATGGTAATGGGAATGGAAGCTCAGACCTTGAGTATACCACGTAAAGAATAATAGCTTGATTTGACCACCACCTGACAAGGCATACATAGGTACCTTTCAAAAAAGTTAATCTCAGTGAAAGAGTTACTATATCTAGTTAGTACAGCATGTTTCTCTTTAAGTAGTTTTCTTTTCCTCCTTGAATAAGTATGTGACTGCAGTTAAGCAAGTAAGATTTTAAGAAATAAAGCTGACATGTATTTTCCTCTCTGCAGTCATTTGAAGGCACTTACTCATGGTTTGTCTAAGTGAATGGACTCTAGAAGCAGTGAGCCATAGGAATATTTTCTTATGAAACTTAGACTTGGAGCTCTAGCATTTCCAACATGTGT